CGTTTGTTTGGGTTGTCATTTCTTGGGCCATATTCCATTCTCTCCATTGAAGTTTGAAATTTTCCAAAAAATGAAATAGAAGGATTAATGCTGGTGCTGATCTAGTTCCATCAATATGTGACCTTAATTGGTTCTTGTGCCTCTTCCAAATATCATCACTTACCTAGATAACTTAATGACTCTTTCCTGTCATTCGGCCACAATTTTAGCTCTCCAGGGGGGGGGATTGGTTCTGATAGAACACTCACGAAAGGTGGCCCGACACTGTCATGACTTTTCGTCGATTCATTCGATGCGCTTCGATATCGTCAGCAAGTCGTGATATCTCTAATCTTAGCTCCTCTAAGTAGTCCTCAAGTTGATTTTTCCTCCCACCACCCGTCCTGTAGTTTCGTAGGAGCTTTCAGACAACGACCTACATTGCGGGACACTTTTGTACATGTCAATAATTCGTCCATTGAGGGCATGCGGATATGATCAATAAGCCAAGGTCTTATGGAATGCATTTCATCCTAAAGGAGAAATTATATGCAACGCTGAGGCGGTGATTTTTTTGCCTTTGTCAGGAAAATTATTTTATTTTCGTGTAGAGATAAGATTTTAATTGAGTGTGCGGCGCCATAGCATTAAGGAGGAATAAAATCCAAATGATTAACATTATTGGCTCAGTTTGAATCCTAGCCTTTTTAATTCTTTAAAAGTTGCTCCATTTAAACAAAATTATATGTGATTTTTTTGTTTTAATTTTATCAGCCCATCGCTTCGAACAATTATTTAATTTTATGTTATTTGGCTTTAAAATAAGAAAATAGTTCATTCAGACTGCTACAAATGTGGTCGATGTAATTTGGAAAGTAAATAATTGTCAAGCAGTCAGTCAAATCATTTGATAACTACTCTATTTGTAAGTTGTAGTGGATTGCTATGCTCAGTTATCTCTGTGGCAGATTCACCTATCCTTGGAAAGACTCACAGAATTAACTAAGCTGCCGTAAAGCAATGGAGGATACACAACACCCAGTGTATTCATCGCGGTGATTAATTATTTATTTATTTCAAATGGCAGGCGCTTTGACAGTTTTCATTAGTCCTTTAGTTGACTCCGGTCTTCTCAGAGGGAAGGAGGAACATCAAAATGAGCAAAATTTGAGAGAAGGGAACAGAAGAGTGAAACACAGATGCAAAAGAGGCAGCCAGACAGACAGGCACAAAGGCTCAGAAAGAGTAAGATGAGTACTGTGGTAGGGGTCGAACATGAATTGCAGTCGGACCATGGCAGTTTGAAGTGAGGAGTCAACTGCCGGTTAACAGACTTTTTTGCCGTATGGGTATACGTTGCCCAGGGTGCACCACGTGGTAGTAAGTCTATCGCACACCCCGTGGTAATTATTTGGCGTGGCGATTAATTGACATAGTGTTCTTAATCACAGTTTGCAACACGGTCCTGCAAATAGCTGGAACTTTATCATTATATATACACTTTCTAATATGATAATCGCTTAATGACACTGGCCATTGATTGATTGTCATGGCTTTGGTTGTTCATTAGTCGAGGCGGGTCTGTTTTTGTTATGCTAAAAGTGTTTTCGCCAAAAAGTGCAAATGAAATGAGATTAGGAAATTACTAGGTCTCTTCCTCTAATTCCTAGATTGCAAGACTCTTAGGTACCTAATTCGGATTTAAATGAAGTTGAATAAAGTATATGCTTTGGCACGATTCATCGTAATGACCTGTGCCTAAACTATCCACCAACCTCCTGGAAAATGGAAATTTTGTCAGTTTCAAATTCCACCAGGAGAGAGAGCTTGATTTGAATGCGAAAAAAATGGTGTTTCGCAGTCTCTAGGACTTTTCATGCGTTTGCTAGTAGATGGTGTGCAATCAGACAGCCCCTGAGTAATTTTGACTTTTCAATCTCAGGTAAATAGGGGGAAATGTTCAAATAACGTTACTTAATAGACAATAAGGTAATGCGACATGCTTATTTTTAAACGAGAGTATTCAACATTGCATCTATTCTATTAGTCAATGCACTAGACATTTTCATTTCCACATAGGAGAGCTCTTGATATTTCGGTCTTCAGTTCTTGAAAAATTGGCCCCTTCTCATTTAAAAAAATTTTTGTTCCGTGACACATAACTTCTTTCCGTCTTCAACATCTTCGATAAAACATTTATTTACATCAAATGGTAGGCGTTTTGATAGTTATCATTAGCCCTTTAGTTGACTTCAGGCTTCACAGAGGGAGAGGAACATCAAATCGAAAAAAGTCGATAGTGGAGGGGGGGGGGGGGGAACAGATGAGTGTTTTAAAGATGCAAAAGAGACAGACACAAAGGCAGATGAAAGGTGAGGTGAGTACTGTGAAAGTAGTCGAATATGACATACTGTGGGGTCATGATAGCTTGAACTCAGAAGTCAACTGCCGGTTAATATACTTTTTTGCCGCATGAGTATACGTTGCCCAGGGTGCACCACGTGGATCCTCCCAGACTTGGCGCACCATTCAAACAATTCCTTAGTTAGTTCTGGCATTTAAATAGGCAAATACTTTACATAAATAGATAAATAAGAAGATTGTAATGCCAATGTTCATTAATAATACCCATGTGATTGAGTTTTGCTCTGTTTTAAAACATTGCGGTTTTAATGAATGAAATGACCAACCTCCTCGCCCCCTCCCCTCCCTCACAGAGTTGAGCAATCTATGCTTGGGGTTCCTGAAGTTCTCGAGTGTTGGACGTTTGCAGAACTAACTTGTATGCTCTTCACGAATTCATTAATTCTATTACGTTCTCTTAGCAATCTTTCAAACAGAATCACTTTAAGATGACCATTCAGAGAGTTTTTGGAGTCACTTTAACTTCACACCATCATCTTAGCCAATCAAATTAAACGACCAACAAATCAATTGCTGATGTTTATAAAACCTTTCTTAGAATGATACATTAGGAAATGGCGTCTTTTAAACACAGTTAGACTGAATCTGCCTATAGGAATCTGCTCTATATGATCCTGTTCATTTAGACTCCTCGTATACTTCAAGGAAAACACAATGGTCATCTTTAGCTCGGCTCTGGAATCCGGCGATATATCAAGAAGTTGTTGAGTAAGAGAAAGAGAGAGAGATTAAATGAACTTTCACACGTAATGGGTCAATATTTCAACTTATGTGGTGTTTGATATTCAAGCAAATAAACATTGCAATAAATGCTATTCTGTTTGCTATTGAGTTATCATGTCCTTCTGTCAAATTAGATGTCATGAGTGTACGCTTTCAGTAAGATGGGTAGCCAACAGTACTAATTAATGTGGGTGAGTGGCTGAAAGTGCTTTCCTAGATAGATTTGGGAATTATTGCTATTATTATTGGGACAATTGCTGATAAACTTGTTTGACGTTTATGATTGCCTGTCCAGAGTACGGTTATTAGATTGCAAGGAATGTCAAAACAGATCGATGCGGAAATTAGCGGATAAAATGAAAAGGTTAATTTTAACATAAAACACAGCTTGCTGATTACTTCTAAATTTCCCTATTTCTTCTGCGTTGAAGGTATTATAAGTCGCCAATTTCAATTTTAAATTTGCATTAAAGTCTGTATAATGAGAAGTTGCGTCAGTTATGTGAATTTTTTATTTTTATTTGCATTTTCTAAAGCCCATTTCACAAACCACTTGAAATGACTTTATAATCGCTGATGAAAGTATTGGTCTTGAACTTTTACGGGTTGACGATAACGCCGTTTGCATAATCTGAGCAATCGGTGATTTGCAACTATCTCGAGTTAAATCAGCTCAAATATACCAGCGTATGGTTTGCAAAATGAGCCCTTTATTGAAAGATATTCTTATTTGACCTGTAAGGTGTGTGTTTAAAGAAAACTTGGTTCCTAAGGTGATCCTGAATTTTCAATTACATTTTTGTTGAGACCTGATTACTTCTTGAAGATCGACAGCACAATATCTTCATTTATGCTTAAAATTAATAAAAAGATTCTAAAAAAACTAGTAGCTCTTTTAGAGGAAACAATGTCTTGAAAGAAATTTTTAATAAGCATCATTTTAAAGGTATAGTTGCTTATGAAATAATTTTATAATTTACTTTCGGTTATAAAAGCCATTGTCAGTGTAAAATGACGAAAACGTACTTAACCAAGTGGAATATTTATATCGTCAGGAAAAATCGTCAAATTGCATGTTTGCACTTTTGCCTTGACAAATGACATGCGTGGTGTAAATAGTTGTCTGTGAACGCCTACTTCAAATAATTCGGGCACACACACACTCACACACGGGCAGACTTGTTTCCATTACGATGACGCCAGTGGCAGGTGCACTCCTGGCGTTTTGTACGCCTGTCATTTACTTCAAGAAGGTGATTGGATAATTGAGCATTTCGCTCCCCGCCGCCCCACCCCCTCTATAAAAATGAAGACCTAACAAATCATTTGGGTGTATATCTCAAATTCCTGCATTGAAACAATTTTGTTAGATGTGTCATTTCCCGACTTTCACAATTTGTTTCACCTAAATACTCTTGAGATGACCAATTGGGGGGTAATACTACTGGCATTTGGTATGCCAATTTCTATAGGTTTACGCATCTGGATTGACTATGCCAGACAATCATGGAAGAAAATGCTCAGTTTGAGTCGTTGGATGGATATGAATTTTTTGAAATTCGAAGATACTATCACCTATTTTTTATTCAGTAGTATTTGGGCAGCTCTATCAGTAAAGTATGCACTTTGCTTACTCAGCCATAAATTAATTTGAAGCCTTACAAAATTAATAATGCACATGATGCAAAAAAATCAATTTAACTAGTATTGATTATCGTGACATGCACCGTATCTGGTAGTGGTAGTAAAAGTTTAATAGTATGTTCCAACGATTTCGTCCCAAAAAGAGCTATAAAAGTCGAGTTAAGAAACATGATTCAAAACTTTTAAGAAATTATTTAATAAATCTTATAATGCAATCTCCATTTGTAGTTTGCGGAGACATTCATGGGCAATATTACGACTTAATGAAGCTCCTGGAAGTTGGCGGGGACCCTTCTTCAACGCAATACCTCTTCATGGGTGACTACGTTGATAGAGGATGCTTCAGTATGGAGGTTAGTCAAGAATTCACTGACGTCTATGCCATTTGTATCGGTTTCACGGATAAGTCTAACGCAGTTTCAATTCAGGACTATCGAATTCTGTGACATTTTCGATTATATTTCTAATCTATGGAAATTAAAAACCACTTGGAAAGCAAAGGTCGTTGTCAGCTTTCTGGAATCAAAAATGAAATAGCATTGATAGCCCGGAAATGCAGTTTATTCGATGCTAAAATTGTGGCAGAATTCAGAATGAGCTAGCAAGTTACTTCGACTTTTACTCTAGAAATGCGGTTGGCACGAAACATTCTATTTTTGGGTTAAGAATCGATTTATTGACCTTTTGTTTGACATCTACAGTAGTGCTAGATTAGAGCTAACTCCAACTAACTATGATTTCATTGCTGAAACGATTCATCATTATCCAGCCTGTTCCAAAATCAAGTGTTTGCTTAATCGAAATGTCGCGGTAAGGTTAGAAAGCGGTTTCGGTATAATTCGAGGTTAGACCACCTTGAAATCTCCTGTAGACTCCACTTCTCTATGGCTTCTGTCTTGTTTATAAGCTAAACAGTACATAGGAATTTACTTAAATGACATGTTGATGACGCAATGTGGTATGATTAGCTAAGTTTGCCCCTAAGTCGCTGAAACTCTAATAAATGCGTCTTTATTTCATACCTATATGAACTTTCGGCAAATGTGGATAAGTTCTTTCTTCTGCTATGCCAAGTTTATGAAACTTCACGCGTATTAGATGCATTTGGAAAATGTCAGAACGATTGATTGATAAACTCAACTAAACTGCCTCGTTACCAATGAAGGAAAATCAATATTTGGTAGACTAAATCTTTCTAAATATGTAGTAAACAGACTTGGTGAAAGATGTGCGAATTAAATGCAGAAGAGTGAGATTAGTTTATGAGAATTACAAAACCATGCTAGGGTCGGCTTACTGTAAATAATTCATGAGCTCTTTGTGGAAATATGCGAAGATTTTAATTGCAATTTTTAGTGCGTTCTCTACATCTTCGCATTGAAGATGACCTACCCGTTGACATTCTTCCTCCTCAGAGGCAACCACGAATGCAGACATCTCACTGAATACTTCACCTTCCGACAAGAATGTGAGTTATCACTCTGTGCTATTTGTCACTGTTATTGTGTCAACAAAAAAACAGAAATATCTTTTGATAGAAGGGTAATATTGGAAAATATTTATTTATATCAAATGGAAGGTATTTTGATAGTTATCATTAGCCTGTTAGTTGACTTCAGGCTTCACAAAGAGGAAGAGAAACATCAAAGTGAAAAAGTCGAGAGGGGGAATAGAAGAGTGTTTCGAAAGAGTAAGATGAGTACTATGGTAGGGGTCGAACATGACATACAGTTGGGGGGGGGGTGGTAGTTTGAAGTGAGAAGTCAACCGCCGGTTAACTGACTTTTTGTCGTATGAGCATATGTTGCCCAGTGTGCACCACGTGGAGGTAAGTCTATCACACACACCCCATATAAGCAAATATACTAATGTATGAAACGAACGGAATTCTGGACATTTGAACTCTTGATGCATTCTACACCTGAAAGATTGCCATG